GTAGCTGGGACTACAGGCATATATTGCCACACCCAGGTAATTTTTATCTTTAATTTTTTGTAGAGATGGAGTCTTACTATGTCACCCAGGCTAGTCTCAAACTACTGGATGCAAGCGATAAGCCTGCCTAGGTCTCCCAAAGTGCTGGGATTATAGGCGTGAGTCACTGTGCCTGGCCTGAGTTAATTTTTATATATCATATGAATTAGGGGTTCACCTTCATTCTTTTGTATGTGGATATATAGTTGTCCCAGCACCATTTATTGAATTATTTTCCCACTGAATAGACTTGGCACCCTAGTAGAAAATCAGTTGAACATAGATGTATGGGTTTATTTCTAGACTGTCTGTTCTATTCCATTGTCTATATGTTTATCATTGTGCTAGTACCATACCGTTTTGATTACTGTAGCTTTTTAGTTAAGTTCCAAATTGGGCAGTGTGTGTCCTTTAACTTGGTTCTTTTTTTTTTTTTTTTCAAGATTGTTTTGGCCATTCAGGGTCCCTAGCAATTTCATGTGAATATGAGGCTTCCTTAAAAATCCTAGGTAATTTTTTCCATTTCTGCAAAACAAAAAAAAAGTAAATAAAAAACAAAAACAGTGATGGAAGTTTGATAGAGATAACATTGACCCCGTAGATCGCTTTGGGAATTGTTGCTCTCTTATAACAATATTAAGTGTTCCTTTTTCTTTTTTTAGACAGAGTCTCACTGTGTCCCCTAGGCTGGAGTACAGTGGCATGATTTCAACTCACTGCAACCTCTACCTCCTGGGTTCAAGTGATTCTCCTGCCTCAGCCTCCTAAGTAACTGGGATTACAGGTGCATGCCACCACACCAGGCTAATTTTTGTATTTTTAGTAGAGACAGGGTTTCACCATGTTGGCCAGGCTGGTCTTGAACTCCTGACATCAAGTGATCTGCCTACCGTGACCTCCCAAAATGTTGGGATTATGGGCATGAGCCACCGTGCCTGTCCAGTTTTAAGTCTTCCAATGTATGAACATCGGATAGCTTTCTATTTAATTAGATCTTATTAAACTTTTTTTTTTTTTTTTTGAGACAGAGTCTTGCTCTGTCACCTGGGCTGGAGTGCAGGGGTGTGATGTTGGCTCACTGCACCCTCTGCCTCCTGGGTTCTAGTGATTCTCCTGCCTCAGCATCCCGAGTAGCTGGGATTACAGGTGCACACCACCACGCCCAGCTAGTTTTTGTATTTTTAGTAGAGACAGGGTTTCACCATGTTGGCCAGGCTGATCTCAAACTCCTGGGATCAAGCGATCCACCCTCTTCAGCCTCCCAAAGTGCTGGAATTACAAGCATAAGCCACCACACCTGACCCGTAGGTATTCTTTAAATGCTAGTATGTGGAATTGTTTCTTAATTGCCTTCATATTGCTTATTGCTGCCAGTTCATTTAATAAAAAAATCTAGTCCTGCCAAAAACAAAGTCAAGTTGTCCCTTGGCCCCACAGTAACTCTTTTAGAGTGTTTTCCTTCTTTTCCTTCTCTACCCCAAGTTTTAAGAAGTAAAATATACGTATTGTGGAAAATTTGGGAAAATATTAACATAAAAGAAACTTCTAATACATTGTTTAGTGACAATTTCTGTTAATGTGTCAGTATATTTCTGTATTTTTCTGCATAAACATATTTTTACAGTAAACAAATGCAGTAAATAAATACAGTAAATAAATGGTTTCTAAAGTTCTAATAGTTTTCAACCCCTGGAACCTGAAATGTTACCAATATGGGAACACACTCTTTCCATATTTGCAAATTAAAAATCTTGAGATGAAGAGATTGTCCTGGATTTCTGGTGGGACTGAATGCAGTCACATATATCCTTATAAGAGGAAAACAGAGGGAGATTTGACCACACATCTCAGAGATTAGAATGATAGAGCCACAAGCCAAGGAATGCTGGTAGCTCCCAGAAGCTGAAAAAGACAAGGAATGGATTCTTTCCTAGTGTCTCCAGAGGTAGTGTGGCACTACTGACACTTTGATTTTGACTGAGTGATACTGATTTTAAATTTCTCTGTTTTAAGCCACTGAATTTATTGTGATTTATTACAGTAGCCACAGGAAAGTAATAGAGATTTTGATACACGATGTGGTGTGCTGCTGTTAGAGACACCTGGGATTAGATAATTGGTGGAGGCTAGAGGAATTTTGAAGTGTGCAGTACAACTATGGATGTTAAAGGCACTTCTGGTGAGGGATCTGAAGGAAGTGAGGAGCATATTAGAGAAAGTCTATAAATATATAGTCTTAGAGAATACATACATTGTTAGAAGCAAAATGTTGGTAGGAATGTTGTTAAAAGTGCTGGTGAAGACTTGGAAGGAAATGAGGAACATGATATTGGGGACTGGAGAAAGGTTATCCTTGTTATATAGTGGTGGAAACTTAGCTGCACAATTGTTTGCCACAGTTGTGTGGAAACCATAACTTGTAATCAGTAAACGTGGATATTTTTGCTGAGGAAATTTCCAAGCAAAGTGTTCCAGGTACAGCCTGGTTTCTTCCTGATGCTTATAGTAGAGTGCAAGAGGAAAGAGTTAAATTGAGGGAATGAATGCTACTAACCAAACAAACAAATAAAACCCCTCAAAACCAGGACTCTCTCATTTGGGAAATTTTCAGCCTATTGAGACTGCAAAGTTGATAAAACTGAGATTCACTCTGGAGAGAAGTGAGGGTGTGACTGAACAACTTTTCCTAGTGTTGAAGGGACTGGATGTTTGACTCATGGATCCATTCAATCATTATAGCAGAAGCCAGGGTTAGAGAGGAGGTTATCCAAGAAAGATCTGTGGAAGACTCTCTTTGCCTAGTGACATGGATTGGTGTGCATACACAGGAGACCCAAGGGGGATTTGGAAATATTAAATCAGAAGGAACACTGCCAGCTTGGACTGAAAGGAGAAAAACAGGATTAAATGAAAGAAGGCTGTCAGACTTTTAAAATTCTGCAGACCAGAATCAGGCTGATAAAACTGCTCACCTGCAAACATATGCTTAAAAAAGGAAGGAAAAGGAAAAATGACTTCATGGTAGGAGCTACAGGCCCAGAGGCCTGAGGCCAGGCCCATAGGCTGGATTCAGGTGCAGAGGCCAGAACCACCAACGTAGAGGTTCAAGCCACAGAAGATTATTCCCAGGCCTTGAATCCTAATGGAATTTGCCCTTCTGGATTTCAAAATGGCTTGGGACTGTTGAACCTTTTTCTTCCTCTTTTCTCCCTTTTGGAATGGCAATATCTTTAACTGTTATTCAGTGCTTATTTCATCATTGCATTTTGGAAGCAGATAACTTGTTTGCTAGTTTCAGAGGAAACTAATATAGTAAGCATAAGGATTTTCTAAATGCATTCTAATCTTTTAAACAAATCTCATACTCCAATTTAAAATGAACTTTTTCCTAAATTTAAGACCTTCTCCAATGCCTTGCCCCAATGCATTGTCTATGAAATCCTTATTCCTTAGATTCAACCCTTAAGATAATACAATTCAAAATGGTAGATGTGTATGCCAAGGCAATCAATGCTCATAATGAGCCACCGTGGTGCAGAAAACAAACAGTGAGAAAGAAAGAGAAACAAAATAACCTTAAAACAGATATAATTCCATGTTTTTATCTTATCCTTTTAAATTTTTAATTTTGTGTACATTTTATAATGCAGTTATATATACTTTCCAAATTAATTGATAGCCATAATTTGGGAATGCTGTAAAACTTTTTTTTTTTTTTAACCAATAGGGATGTACAATCAAAAAGATTTAGAGACTACTGTTCCAAAACATGACTGTTGGCAGTGCATTTGGTGGTCCCGCAGATCTGTTTCTTTCTTCAACAGTGTTTGGATGGAACAGATATGGGGACTAAAGAAAAAAAAAAAAGAAGAAAACAATAAAATAAAACATGACTGTTACTCAATCATATTGTTAAGCAAGATCCAGAACCTGAAAAAGACAGAGTGGATTCTTTCTTAGAGTCTCTAGAGGTAGTATGGCCCTACTGACACTTTGATTTTAACTGAGTGATACTGATTTTACATTTTTCTGTTTCAAGCCACTGAATTTGTTGTAATTTATTACAGTAGCCACAGGAAAGTAATTCAGGTTTGGTCTGTTGTCCAAACTTCACCCTGTTTTGAACTCAGTCCTTTGCTTGTAATAATTAAATAAATAAAGTAATAAAATGACTTATAGGAACCTTTAGATTTGTCCTGTTTTGCAGTGTGGCATTCTTAGAGTTTATCATTTATCTTTTTTACTTGTAAGATAGAGAGCTAGGCAATGATTCGTTACTGAAATATACTTTAAATATGCGGCAAATATATAACATAAAGTAATGCTTCTTATTTGGTAAATTAGCATCTTATTTTAGACTTTACAATCTAAGCATTAATATATTAGCTAAAACTAATATGCTGTGCTGGAGTTAGCTAAATGATAGGCTGGAGATGGCTTTTATCGTTTTATGAGAACCAGTTGTGTACATCTCTCCTCTTCCATGCAGCAGCCTGACATTGGCCATGATGGGAGTATTTACATCATGGAAATGGGCAAATGCTAAAAATCTGGCCTTTCTTTTCCTCGACTCCACTCTGTGAGCTTTTTAGCACTGTAAGGTTTTTAATGACTAATTCCAAATCATGCTGTACAATGTGGAACTTTGAAATCCTTTATGAAAAAATTGTTATATGGCCAAATATGTTTCAGAAATATTGCATATAGAAATGTACTCTTTTTGTTGGAGAGTCAGAATATGTATGGTTATTCTAAAATCTGTAGTTTATGATGTGAAGAAAGGTATTTAACTTTGTATAACTCAGCATTTTCAACACTTTTTAAAGTGTATTAACAAAACTAATCTTTGCATTACATCTTTTGATAACCCACTAAGTTAATGTTTTGCAGAGCACTCTTTGAAAAAGATGGAGATATGTCATATTTATTACTTGCTGATTTAAAATGTGTTTTATTTTCAGCCCTTCCAAGGTAACCCTTCTGGGGTCAGTTATCTTCACATTCCAGCACACCCAGCATCTGGCAATATCAAAGCATAATCTTATGTTCCTTTATACCATCTTTATTGTGGCCACAAAGGTAAGAATTCAAAGTACCTATAATTATTACAAATCCTGTATAACCATTCCCCTTTGATACAATTCTGCATACTGGGCAAGTGAGAGAAACATTTATTTATTGTTATTATCTAAGAGGAAGAATTTGGGGAGGTTTACTCAATACATCCATGACTTTCTGAAACTTAACTTTTCTGTGATTTCTTATTTGCTTTATGCTAGGGCTATCAGGAAACACTTGCAGATAGCCTAGTAGTATATTGGAGAAGAGAGAGTAGTAGAAATAGCCAGTGCTGATCAGAGACTGCAAAGATGATAGTGTCTCATTTGTAAAATGAGATACTTGAGATAGATATTCTCTGAGTTTCCTTTAAGCTCTAAAATTTCAAATATTTTATATAGGACATATTTGTGGTCATTCTTTTCTATTAATATTGCCTGGGTGGAAGCTTTATTCCTTCTTGAAGATAGGTTAGAGACAGGCAGTCTTGGGTTCAAATCCCAGCTTTGCTAGCTAATCCCTGAGTAGGCAAGCCACTTAATGTCGCTGAATCCTAATTTTCTCGTCTTCATTGTACAGTTGTTGAGAGGATTAGAGAGGATGCATGTCTTTCTGTCACTGTATCTGACGTATCTTATGAATTTTATTTGCAGCTGTATCATGAGGCTAATTCTGACTATTCATACCATGAATAAGTATTGTTCCCTGTTCACAAATAGACAATTGATTTTATAATAAAATTGTTATTTAAGTCTAGAAAATTTTATGGCCACCTCTATTTTAGACTAGATATTTTTGGCTAAAAACTTATCTTTGGGATTTTTAAAAGGAAAACAGGATAGCTAATATGTGTCTTAGAATGAAGTCACTGTATGAATCATTCATTTTTGTTTCAGTAGTCTCTGAAATGGAGATGGTCTGTGGCTGTAATCAAGTAACAAATATTGGAGGCAAAATCTCTTCACATGTAGTCTCTTCCAGTCCTCAAATTTTGAGCTGTATGTATTTTTTCTAATGGCTTTATTGAGATATATTTTCCATACTGTGTTAGTCTGTTCTCATGCTGCTAATAAAGACATACCTGATACTGGGTAATTTATAAAGAAAAAGAAGTTTAATGGACTCACATTTCCACATGACTGGGGAGGCCTCACCATCATGGCGGAAGACAGAGGAGGAGCCAAGGCACATCTGACATGGCAGCAGGCAAGAGAGCTTATGCAGGGGAACTCCCATTTATAAAACCATCAGATTTCGTGAGACTTACTCACTATTCCAAGAACAGCACGGGAAAGACCCTCATGATTGAGTCACCTTCATCTGGCCCCTCCCTTGTACAGTTCAAGGTGAGATTTGAGTGTGGAGATATGAGTGATGTATGGTTTGAGCCAAACCATATCATATATCATACAGTTCACTTAAAGTGTATAATTGAATAGTTTTTTTAGTGTATTCATGGAGTTGTGCAATTATCACTACAAATCAGTATTAGAACATGTTTATCACTCCAAAAAAGGAACATTGTATTCTTTAGAAGTCATTTCACATTTTCCCCAATACTTCCAGCTATAGGCCATTTTATTTATCCACTCATCAGTTGATGGATAGTTTGATTGTCTCACTTTTTGGCTAAAATGAATAATAAGCTGTGAACACTCATGTAAATATTTTTGTGTGGACATGTGATTCATTTCTCTTGAGTATATCATCTATGAATGGAATTTTTAGGCCATATGTTAATTCTGTTTATCCTTTTGAGGAACTGACAGATTGTTTTAGAAAGTAGCTTTATCTTTTTATATTCCCATCAGCAATGTATGAGATTTCCAATTTCACCACACCATTACTAGTGCATAGTATTGTATTTTTTGTTACAGGCACCCTAGTGGGTGTGAAGTGGCATCCCATTGTGGTTTTGATGTACATTTCCCTGATGACTAATGATGCTGAGTATCTTTTTTGTGCTTGTTAGGTATTTGTATATCTTCTTTGGAAAAAATATCTAGTCAGATTATTTGCTCATTTTTAATTTATATTTTGTTTTAATGTTGAGTTGTAAAATTCTTTTCATATTTTGGATACTAGAACCCTATCAGACTTAATGATTTGCAGATATTTTTTTCCATTCTGTAAGGTTTTTTGTTCACTGATAGTGCCCTTAGAAGCACAAATTGGTAAAATTTTGATGAAGGCCAGGCTCAGTGGCTCACGCCTGTAATCCCAGCACTTTGGGAGGCTGAGGTGGGCAGATCACCTGAGGTCAGGAGTTTGAGACCAGACTAGCCAACATGGTGAAACCCCATCTCTACTAAAAATATAAATATATAAAAATTAGTTGTGGGTGCCTATAATCCCAGCTACTCAGGAGGCTGAGGCAGTAGAATCACTTGAACCAGGGAGACAGAGGTTGCAGTGAGACGAGATTGTGCCACTGCACTCAAGCCTGGGCAACAGAGAAAGACTGTTCTCTGAACAGAAAAAAAAATACAAACAAAAAAAACCCAACAACACTTTTTTTTATGAGTCCAATTTACCTATTTTCTCTTTTATTATGTGTTCTTTGTATGTCATAACTAGGAAACCATTGCCAAATCTAAGATCATGAAGATTTACCTCTATATCTTCTTCAAGAGTTTTATAGTTTTAGCTCTTGTATTTGGTTTTTATGATCTGTTTTGAATTAAGTTTTGTGTATGGTATGATGAACAGTCCAAGTTTTTTCATGTGGATATCTAGTTGTTCCAGCACTATTTATTGTAAAAACAATTCTTTTCCTTTGTGAATTGCCTTTACAATCTTGTCAAAAATCAGTTGACTGTAAATTTGAGGGTTTATTTCTGGATTCTCAATGTTATTCCATCCATATGTGTGCCCGTCCTTATGCTATTACTACTATGTCTTAATTGTTGTAGCATTGTAGTTAGTTTTGAAATCAAGACGTGTGACTGTGGTAGGATCCAAGATGGCTGATTAGAAGCAGCTGTGGTCCATGGCACTCATGGAAAGGAGTGAAAAGGGGCAAGTGAATTCAGCACCTTCAACTGAAATACCCACCTTGCAGTGGGACTGTCTAGGCAAACAGCTCATGTAGGGTAAGGGACCTTGGGCTTTGGAATGCCCAAATGGTTTGGACAAGGAAGGTCCCCTCCAGTGCAGCACACCTCCTCTACCAAAAAGCAGCCAGACTGCTTTTTTAAGCAGGTCCCTCATTCTGTTCCTCCTGACTGGGTGAGACCTCCCGATAGGGATCTCCAACCACTTCCTACAGCTGAAAACAGCATGGAGCCAAAGGAACCCCTACTGCCAGCCAAGGGAAGCAGTGAGTGATTATGCAACCTTGCCCAGGGATCCACGCTTCTCTCATGGACCTTTGCAACCCGTGGATCAGGAGATCCCCTCGTGAACCCATGCCACCAGGGTCTTGGGTCTGATGCACAGAGCTGTGTGGAGTTTTGGCAGAGCAGCCACTCAGGCGCACACAGAGACACAGGAGTTTACATACTGTGGCCCTGGGGTCCCCAGCAAGTGAGGAAATCCATCCGTACATATTCCTAGGAAGGGGGCTGAATCCAGGGAACCAAGCAGCATCGTGCTGCAGGCCCCACTTCCATGGCACCTCACAATCTAAGACCCACTGGCTTGGGTTCCAGCGTGCCATCGGCAACGTGCTGGAATCTACCTGAGACAGGTCTGAGTTCCTGGGGGGAGGGGCGGCTGGCATCTATGCGGTTTGGTAGACTTAGCCGTTCCAGCCTGCCGGCTTTGGAGAATATGAACAGTCCAGATGAGGAAGGGTCCTCCACAACGCAGCACAGCTCCCTTGGTAGATCATGGCCAGACTGCTTCTTTAAGCAGGACCCTGATTCATTCCTCCTCACTGGGCGGGACCTTCCTGTGGGGCCTTCAGCCACTTCGAAAGGGTTCTATTGGGACGTAGCTCTTAGGGGGAGGAGTGGCCACCGTCTCTGTGGTTTGGCAGACTTAGCCACTGTAGTCTGCTGGCTTTGGAGAATACAAATGTTACAGATGAGAAAGGGTTTCCCCACAATGCAACACAGCTGCTTTGCTAGATCGTTACCAGACTGCTTTTTTAAGCCAGACCCTGATCCATTCCTCTTCACTGGACAGGACCTCCCTGCAGGGACTTCATCCATTCCAGCCAGGGTTCTCCATCTCTCCCTGGGATGGAACTCCCGGAGGGAGGGCCAGTCACCATCTCTGTGACTCAGTTGACTCATCCATTCTAGGCTGCCGGCTTTGGAGTGCCCAAATGGTTTGGACAAGGAAGGTCCCCTCCAGTGCAGCACACCTCCTCTACCAAAAAGCAGCCAGACTGCTTTGTAAAGCAGGTCCCTGATTCTGTTCCTCCTGACTGGGCGAGACCTCCCAATAGGGATCTCCAGCCACCTCCTACAGGTGCATTCGGTCCGGCAGCAGGTCAGTACCCGCCTGGGGCAGAGCTTCCAGGGAAGGAGCTGACTGCCATCTTTGCTGTTTCATAGCCTTCACTGATGATACCTCCAGGTTTGGGAAAAACCAAGGTATCTAGGGTCTGGAGTGGACCCTCAGCAAACCACAGCAGCCCTATGATAGACTGGCCTGACTGTTAAAAACAAACAGAAAACAACAACAACATAAACAAAAAAGACCCCATAAAAACCCCATTCGAAAGTCAGCAACCTCAAAGATCAAAGGTAGATAAACCCACAAAGATGATAAAGAACGCAAAAATGGTGAAAACTCAAAAAGCCAGAGTGTCTTTTCTCCCCCAAATGATGGCAACATCTCTGCAGCAAGGGCATGGAACTAGGCTGAGATGCCTGACTTGACAAAAGTAGGCTTCAGAAGGTGAGTAATAATGAACTTCACTGAGCTAAAGGAGCATGTTCTAACCCAATGCAAAGAAGCTAAGAATCATGATAATAAAGGAGATGATAGCCAGAATAGTCAGTTTAGAGAGGAAGATAATTGACCTGATGGAACTGAAAAACACAACATGAGAACTTCACAATGCAATCACA